AAAATGTAAAAGCGGTTTTCCTGCCCCCCCCCCCCCCTTCTTTTTTCTTTCTCTGAAATTCAACTACTACAGCCTTTAGTTCCATCTCTCTTTTTGGCCATACTGGGCAGGTATAAACAACAACTTTTAATGTTTCAGGACAATCAACACTTCTTAAAGTGTTGTAATTGTTTGTTTATGTTTTAAAATGTGCAAAGCTACAACAATAATTTTAATTATTATTCAGTGATAACAGTATTATTCCTGAGCAGTGTATAACCATGACCTAACCCTGATTTTACTATTAAATTTCTAATGGCTCATTCTCTCTAGGAATAGTATCAGTCAGGCTTGTAGCTTATGACTCTCAAGTTCCTTCTCAGGTATCCGAGACCATCAGTGATTTATGCTCAAGCTATATGAAAATGCCCACAAATAATTCTCTTTCCCCAGGCTGCCCTTGTCATTCCAAATAGAGCGATACTACTACTTTTAAAAATCTTACCTGAAGGAAACGCATGCGATTGCAAACTTGTATCAACTATCAAAACTAACATAGTTTTTAAATGGAGAGGAAAAAGAAGAGATTAACACGTGGGACTGCTAACCGCGTTGATTTATAAATTTCTGTAAAGCACTCAGATGTTAGATCAACAGGAGTCATACAAGAACCTGAATAGAACAGTTGTTTATGCTAAGTTCTCACATTTAGAATAAGTCTCATAGATTTCCTACGTGTTAAAAAAATGTGTAACAGCTGTATTGTTAAAACCTGTAACCACATACTCATTAAAAGGCTCAGCGGCACAGAATTTGCCACAAAATATGAGCCTACAGCTTGCAATCCCTGGACAAGGAAAGCCGCGAAAGTGTCAAATGGTTTTACCAGAACAGGGTAACAGTCACAGAATGGTTAAGGTTGTAAGGGACCACTGGAAGTCATCTTGTCCAAGCCCTCTGCCCATGCAAGGTCACTTAGAGCAGACGGCCCAGGACTGTGTTCCAACTAGTTTTCAGAAGAGACTATCATGAGTGCTCTTTCTTCCTCCCTCAGTCTCATTTTTTCTACATATGTCTGTCACCTGTTTGAAACTAATACTTCTGAAGCTCCAGGAGCATAGAATGATACAGGAGGAGATAGCTGGCTTCCTTCATCTCTTATTTGCAAGAGGCTTCTTTGCAGGGGAGGGGAAGTCCACAGGAGCAGCTCTAAGATTTTTTTTTTTTTCCTTTCCCTTTTCTGTTCCATGACTGTCAGCTCCAAGATACCAGCTGCTAACTGCTCTGTAGCTCCCTAGTTGACTTTTTCACCTGCTGTTTTGTGTTCAGACAAGCAGATACATAACAACCTAATAGTGTTTTTTAAAATTCCACTACTGATAATTAGTGGATAGCAAAAGGTTGCCCTTCTGCACAAAATGCCCTTTGACACTGAAAAATAAAGTTGACAAGTGTCATGTCAATGATTTACAGTTATCTTCTACAAACAGGTGACATATTCATGTTACTGTTTTTCACCATTTGCAGTAAGGTGGCTTGTAGATGTGTTGTTGTATCATGCCCAATATAAAAATAAAGAGACAGTCCCTGATCTCCCAAAGTCTTGTAACCTAGAAGACCACAAAAAAAATAAGGAAAGAGAGCAGAAGTGGGACCACAAGGAAATAAGACAACACACGTCAATGGGACAACTTAATAGCCACAGTCGATCAGTTGCTTACCTACTGACAGAGATTAGAACCAGATTTCAAAATTATGTCTTCAATTAATAGTACAACTGTAGTTACCTGATAGAAAATATACCTGATGCTTTAGCTTTCCAAAACTTCAAACCTAGGTTTATCCTATACCTGGTATAGACGAGCTCCTCACAAGCAACAATCACTTCTGAGTCAGAGACCAGGGCTATCAAAATTCTCTCCCCAATTAAAAACCACCAGGCAACCATCTCCAAAATAGATACATTAATTTACATTATCTTGCTAGTAAACCTATATCTTCTTCTGACCTTTTGCAAAACCTACTCATAAGCTAGGAAAAAAAAAAAGCACCTTGGCTCTATCTAGCATTTTAAAATAGATACCTTCTTGAATACTTGGCTTCTGTGGCATTGTGAGAATATCTTCAGGATGTGGTTTACATAGTCCATGGAAAGGCCCTAAGTCAAAACACTCTTGAAACAAGGAAACATTTACTTTAGAACACAAGCTCATGAATCCTACTGCAGTGTCACCATCCTGAAATATAAAAGCAATGTCACACATATGTAAAAGTTGAGCATGTGATTTTAGGTCAGGACAAAAAAATGGAACAAAAAAAAAGTTTGAAACATTAAAGTTAGTGTTCTATCTCTGGCTGAGCATAATATTGTAATAAATACATTGTTATAATATAAAGGAACTATTTCAGCAAAAGTTAGAACCTTTTTTTTTTTCCTTGTAATATGTGTATTAGGACCTCTATATTAGATGTTATAATTCTTTTGTTAGCTATGACTTGTGAGAGCATTAGGTTTATACATACGGACCAAATAATGACCTATTGTTTCAATAAAACATTTGTTACAATAAATAAAAAACATATCTCTTTTAACTACCTACCTCCAAAAAGGTACAATTTTTCTTTACCTTAAAGTGCAGCTAAAGTAAAGTCTGGATTTAGCCAGCCATAACGGTTGACTAATTACTAGACACTGCTTTGTAAATAAAATTGTGCTCAAACTGAAAAGTGTATTTTATTTTCCATAGAAAATTATTAATTCAGGAAAGCAATTATATAGTATACAAACAGTATCTAATATAGTATATGGTATGTATTATTTGCAGCAATTTAAGTGCTAAATATTTTAAAGTTCTGAAAAAAAAAAATCTAAGAACTAGTCTTAACAAAAAAAAAAAACCCCAAAACAACAAAAAACACGCCTTGGCAAGCATAGAATGACAAGATCCCTGCAATGCTAAAATGGCACGTTACTCTGTATGTTTGACTATTACTGAAAGTTTCCAGAAAGTTGCTGTCTTCAGAAAGAATACACTCCGAAAAATAAAAATTGGCATGCTAGATGTTTTTTGGCTTTAAGCTAAGACAAGTCTAGAATAAGGAAGGTCTTCAATTTTTAGTACTATATTTAACTTCCCAGTGAAAC